TTGTCAAGTTACAAGACCCTTGCACCTGTAAACCTTTAGAAAAAAAAAACCCAGGGGTGTTCAAACTTGACAGCTTTAAGACTTGTGGACTTCAACTCCCAGAATTCCTCCTCCAGTCATGTTGGCTCAGGAACTCTGGCATGGAAGCACGCAAGTCTTAAAGCTGTCAAGTTACAAGACCCTTGCACCTGTAAACCTTTAGAAAAAAAAAACCCAGGGGTGTTCAAACTTGACAGCTTTAAGACTTGTGGACTTCAACTCCCAGAATTCCTCCTCCAGTCATGTTGGCTCAGGAACTCTGGCATGGAAGTGTGCAAGTCTTAAAGCTGTCAATTTACAAGACCTTTGGACCCCAACCCTTTAGAAAAAATCCCAGGGGTGTTCAAACATGACAGCTTTAAGACTTGTGGACTTCAACTCCCAGAATCCTCCTCTCGCTCTTCATTTTGATGATGTGCGGATGGGCGAGGGGGAGGGAGCTGGAACCGGTTCTAAACGGCACTGTAGATTTGTGGAACCTCTTCTATACAAGAGGTTAGAACTGGCAGGAACCCACCCCTGCTGTGGGCACACGCACTGTTGCCAGCTGCTCTTCTGGTTTCTAGTACACACGTGCACTGGCCCGTTGATCTTTGCGGGCATTGGAAAATGGCCCGAAAAATGCCCCCAAAACAGACTGTTTCTGGGACGTTTTCTGGGCCAAAAACGGCCTGAAAAACAGCTTGAAAACAGCCACAAAAACAGGCATGTGCTGTTCTTCAGGTTTCTGGTGCTACGTGCATGCACACACATTCTGGTTTGGGCACTTGGTGCCCAAAAGGTTTGCCATCACTGATATAGAATATGTATACAATGTGGAAACATATTGAAGCTTCTCTTCAGTCCAGTATAAACCAAGATTTCCTATTGCAGTATAAATTTAAATTGATTCATAAGTGCCTACCTGAATTCCAATTGCACTATTCCCTTCTGGGATAAGCAATCACACGCAAAGTGCCAAGAAGGAATAAGAAACAAAAAAAAATCAAAGAAATGTAGGCATGAAGAAAAAAAAAAAAGAAAAAGTTAAATCTAGTTTACATTAATATCATTCACAATACATCTCCCTATCTTTCTATCCCTGCAAAATGCCATTATAATCACTACGTTTATATACCGAATCTTTCAGCACTGACTTTTGATCTCACCACTCCTTTTTTCCAATACCATATCAAATCCACTGAACCATAAAACTTTCCAGGTCTTCTTTCGTTCTACTCCACTCGCTCTCCTGTTGTATACTTGTTCTGCAATTCAATCCTCTTTCATTTGCTCTATATGATTAAAGTATATTCTGGGGTATGGGTCATTTACTTTTGCATCAAATCCACATTCATTCATGAACTGAGCATAGAGTCTTGGACTTTTCTTTCTTGTTTGACCATGAATACTTCTTGGGTACACAATGTTCCTACTACATGCCGCTTACTTTACTGTTTTTCCTAATATACTTGTTGTAGCCCAGGAGGAGCTGTTGGAGCTGCCACCAGACTCCGACAGCGAGGGGCCCTATGAGTCGGCTCTGG